CAGTACTTTAATATCAATACTTTTCAAAATGAATCTTACAAAGGTTTAGTGTTTGGAGGATGATTTTACAACTGAAAACAAATATTTTGGAGATTGCTTTTTTTTTTTCCATGAAATAAAAATTATCCATTACTTGTATATTTCCCTTATTATGTAACAAGGTGGCCCAACTTGGTATTATTTTGAATTATTGATAATTAAAAAGTAGGAAAAAAGCCTTTTAAAAAATATATTGTAGGTAACTAGAGTTTAATGATAAAATTTGAATTTATTTTGCAGCAAGATTATCTTCAGTTATGGGGAAAGTACCACTTTCATTTACTTGACTAATATTTATTCTTCTACTGCTTGGTGGGCACAAATAAAAACATTTTTCTGAGAGAAAATGTTGGAAATTCAATAATGCTAAAGAAACTTAAGGAGCTCTGGTAGCATAGTGCCTAAGGCATTTGACTGCTAGTCAGAAGCCTGGAGGTTCAAACCCACCAGCCACTCCTTGGGAGGAAGGTTGGGCAATCTACTCCGTAGTGATACTGGCTTGGAAACCCAAGGAGGGGTTGCTATGAGTAGGGTCCGACTTGACGACACATAGCAGCAACAACAGAAAGAAACTTGACCACTCTAAAAATTAATAGAGAAAGCTGTCTATGATATAAACTAGTCTTGTTTTTGTTTTGATGGTTTACTTTCCATGGAGAAATGGTTCCTTTCTAAGTGTGCATTGAAATAGCCCTTTGCTTGTCTATTCTATTTTCTTGTTGACCTATGTTGTATGTATTCTTCTTCAAACAGTTGTCCAAAGAAAATCAGAAGAGGCCCCAAAGACAGTAAATTCCCTGTATGAAAGTATTAGACTGGGTATTGATGTTTCTGTTATTTAAGACACCCAGACTTTAGCCTGAAGTGTTCTGTTGTTTTTTGAGGTCTTCTGTGTGTAGAGGTGTTAAGTTGGGCTCCTTAAAAAGACTCATCATAAGCAGAAAGTAATTATGTGATAGGGCAGCCTGAGGCTGCAATAAGGGAAAGCCTGCTTCTATTCTCTGGGGCTAGATGTGAAATTGTTTATGACCAAAAGCATGGAGATGTGTGGACCAACTCAGGGTGGAGACAGCTGTGAAGTTGGGTCAGACCACTGCTCTTTCAGAAAACTTGGTGTCACCTCTGGGCTAGTTGAGTACATGAGAGTTACTCTTTGTTTTGCTGTTCCCTTCCAACATGCCTGGCCTTTAAGGAAATATTGTTAGCATGTGGTTTTTGCAGTGCAGTGCAGGACTGAGTGAAGAATGTCTGATACCTGTGCAGAGGAAAGGCAGTGTCACTTCTCTTGAAGCCAGAGTATGGGAGCAATGGTGATCACCAGCAGAAGGCAGGTGTGCCCAGCACAGCAGCAGTCTCATAAAAGTTGCCATACTGCAGCTATCTTAGCCGGTCAGTTCAAATTCTGGCATTCACGCTGATGGGGACTTATGTCATTGAAATTACATGTTAAAAGGGAAACATCATCTTTCTTGATAGTCACAGATTAGAGCCCAAGACAGTAGGGTAACATTGGTGCCATCATTTTCCTTGGTACTTGCCTTCTGATTTAGTAGAGAAAGGAAAATCATGTGGGGAGGTAATCTGACAGCAGGACTCCACCTCTGGCTCTCACCTATTAGCTTTGTGACTTTGGGCTCTTAACATCTCTGACCCTGGTTTTGCCTGAAAATGAGAGGGTTCAGACAGATTAAAATGGTTTTAAATAGTGTTCACAGATTCCATAAACACTCAATTTTTAGTTTT